GGCAACAACGAAATGGATGCCATCAAACCGAAAACGGAATATACAGAGGCCACCAGGTACTCAAAATGAATATGTATATCATTGGATGACATTACCTCCTTTAAATATATCTCAGAATATACAGCACACGAAAGTGGCGGCAGTTGCGGTCATTGCTCAAACTACCATGTTTAAAAACATACAAAAATAGGCTGTTTTGGCATCCCGCCAATATTTTGCCGAGAGTTAGTAGGGGTAGGATCCTTTCATTTGCGATGAGTTTCATCGAAAGTCCTCGTGGCATCTGTATATCGGATGCCACGAGGACGTGGATGCCATGGCAGACGCAATTTTAACATGGAGGGATGCCACCAAGGCCTATAAATAAATATATATATATATATATATATATATATATATATATATATATATATATATATATATATATATATATAATTTTAAGGGTAGTAATCTTTCTAGGAAATGTTGGGCACCAATAAGTCTCTTTTTTATTTTTAAAAGCTAGTGAGAATTATAAATTCTAGCTTTATCAATAAAAAGAAGTAAATAAAAATTAAAATCTCAACTACCTATGGCTATCTAGAAGTGGTTAGCTAACAAAGCAAAAATGTGGTAATTACTAGTGACTAGAATTATTTATGTACGAATCAAAATTTGATACCTGATAACTGTGAATAATTTGTTTTCGAAAAGGTTTCTTGTTTATATATATATATATATATATATATATATATATATATATATATATATATATATATATATATATATATATATATATATAATTTTAAGGGTAGTAATCTTTCTAGGAAATGTTGGGCACCAATAAGTCTCTTTTTTATTTTTAAAAGCTAGTGAGAATTATAAATTCTAGCTTTATCAATAAAAAGAAGTTAATAAAAATTATACAGAATTTAGTGAATGAAAGAGAATTTTAACTTTAAAAAATAAGGTTCAATATATATATATATATATATATATATATATATATATATATATATATATATATATATATATATATATAAAGTATATTAAAGTTAAAATTCTCTTTCATTCACTAAATTCTGTATAATTTTTATTAACTTCTTTTTATTGATAAAGCTAGAATTTATAATTCTCACTAGCTTTTAAAAATAAAAAAGAGAATTATTGGTGCCCAACATTTCCTAGAAAGATTACTACCCTTAAAATTTGTCTATTTGAAAAGCCGAATTCACGACAGAGAAAAGTATGTGCTCATTTATTTTTTTTTTATTTTTAAAGGTAAGTAACGTTTGTTATTAAATTTCACTGAGCTAGTAAAAATCTCTATAAGTGTTTTGAAATTAACATTTATCAAAAGGGTAACGAATAATATTACAAAATGGCGGGCAAAGTGTCAGGGTAATATTGCAAATTGGAGCCAAACGTGGCAATATAATATTGCATGGATTATAACTTTTTTAAATTAATACAATAAATAAATAAATAAAAATGTTTGGAAAAATTTAATTTTATAGATAATTATTGACAGAGTAATTCAAATTTGCCGGGTTGCCTATCAAATATGGCCGCAAGTGATTTTAATAGTTTTTTTCTACTTTAAGGTACCTATATTTCTTTAATTTCTGAATGTAGAAGAAAAGTATTTTATTAAAAATTGTTTATGATATTACTTTCTATAATTTTGGTCAAACACATGATTTCTTTAAAATAGATTTTAATGCAGAAATTTGAGAAATACTACAAAATGTATTTTTGCTACGCCCATGTCAGTAAACGTTAAAAATCACACTGTCAACATTTCTTGTAAATGACATTTAACAATAACATGCACGTAATGAGATTTCATAACATACACATGCTTTTTGATAAGAAAACTTAAATTTTTTAGTTTAATTAAATTGCAATCAAATTTTTATCTACGTAAGACTTTATTTGGTTCATTTACATAAATTTTGCTTTTTTTTACTAAATATTGTATTTGAACATTTTCTTAACTTTACCTATGAATATATCTATTAGTAGTGAAAGTGATGAAATTATGAGCACTCCACCAGAGATTTTAGAAAAAGCTCAAGCTGCCACACATAATTTGTTACCGCTAATATTCAAAAAAGGTACGAAATTACCAATCGAAAATTTATGGATTAGCGACACAAGCATATGTTCTTTATTTAATAGAAGAAAATAAGTGGGCGTAGAAAAAGTATAGTACGTTACACGAGTTGTAAGCCCATTGCACACTCGTGAAATTTATGCACTCGCCGCTGCGCGGCTTCGTGCGTAAACTTTTTCACTTCGTGCGTAATGGGTTACTTACAACTCTTGTTACGTAATATACTATTTTGCTACGATCACTATCTAAAGTAGGCTTTTGCGCTTAAAAATTCAACCGCAAAGTAGCACATACTTTGATTTTCTTTTACTATACTGCCTTTTAAAAGAAGATAGAAAACTCGGCCATTTTGATCCCTTTATTACGCGTTGCCTACATCTTGGCGGAATATTTTTAATAGGTGCGTTTTAATCATCCGCTTCTGCTTCGGAATTGTCGGTTTTCTGTTTTAATCTGACAGGTTAAAACGACTAAACCGAGTTGCGCAGTGTATAAACTGGAACATTGAGATCAAAAGTGCCGACGCAGAGTGAGCGATCTGATTCTTTAGCTATAAACTGTGGCATAGGAATCAAAATGGCCGCACCCTATGTTGGGCGTGTCGGACCTCTCTCTTGCACCATATAGTAAAGAAAATCAAAGTAAGTGCAAATGCCGCGTTTGAGAATCCACATCGGATGCATTTATTACATCTCGAGCGTTTATTCACATCGGACACATCTACAACATCTACATCTGCGTTTGTTTATCCCAGATGTAGTTGTCCAGATTACATTTTTTACATCTCGATTTGAAATGAGATGTGAATGAGATGTTCGTTCCATGCCAGAAAGTAGGTGTTCTGTGAAGCCAAGATTATTGATTTATCCTTTATTTATGCTAGCGTGAATATAAAAGTGATTAGTTTGTTTAATTTTTGTTTAGATTTCAAATTTAGGTTGATTTGTAGCACATACTTTGATTACTATACGGGGCAAGAGAGAGGTCCGACACGCCTAACATAGGGCGCGGCCATTTTGAACCCTATGACACAGTTTATAGCTAAAGAATCAGATCGCTCACTCTGCGTCTTCACTTTTTATCTCAATGTTCCAGTTTATACATTGCGCAACTCAGATAATACAATATATGAAAACCGCCTATAATAAAACAGCAGTCTTCTGCGTATCCTGAATTTGTATCCCTGGAGTGGATGTTATTTTGGAACTTTCAACTGGTCCGAGTGAGCTAACTGATTCTTTAGCAATAAACTGTGTCTCCAAAAATAATATTCACTGACACTGACAGCAGCAAGCAAAATATCAGGTGCGTTTTAACCATCCGCTTCTGCTTCCGGAATTGTCGGTTCAGTCGTTCTAACCTGTCAGATTAAAACAAGAAAACCGACAATTCCGAAGCAGAAGCGGATGATTAAAACGCACCTATTAAAAATATTGCGCCAAGATGTAGGCAACACGTAATAAGGGTTCAAAATGGCGGAGTTTTCTATCTCCTTTTAAAAGGCACTCAGAAAGCTGCGCAGTGCGACCATTCTCCGTATAGTAAAAGAAAATCAAAGTATGTGATTTGTAGTCTCAAAAGTCAAATTTAAAAAGTATAAACTTCTAATTTGTCATTGACGTGTTATCACGTGGCCAATAAAGTCTAGAGCGTTTGTTTATTACATCTACATTCAGATCTAATTCTCAATCACGTGATAAAAAATTCACTACATCTCAGATGCATCCGATGTGGATTCTCAAACGCGGCAATGGTAGATGTTTTCCGTGAACTGACATTAAGTGACAGGGGTGCGTTTAGAAACCTCGCACGGCGCGACCACATACATTAGAATACGGTTCAGACGCGCCGTGCGAGGTTTCTAAACTCACTCCAGCTTTGTCGATCGCCGAGCGGAAAACTTGACAGCTCTGTCGCTCACCTATTTTAAATTAGATATAATATAATATCTTTTTAATAAATGATTTTGAAGTTATTTGTACCTAGTTTGATGTTTTTTCTTTTATTATCCAAGTTAACATTGACTCTTTTTTCATGAATAACGTAGATATACGCAATACATTATACACTATTTATGATAAATTTTCAGTTTTTATATCTACTTCTTAAAATAATGTGATCGTAGAAAAAATCTTGTGTGCATTTTAAGGGACAAGTTCGTTGTCGCTTTCGACAAATTGCCGTGCTCCGCTACACGCTACGCGGCAACTTTTTGTCTCAAGCGTCAAATCACTTTTCGCTCTTAATACACAAATAACTATTTTCGTTATGAAATAATGTTTTGAATAATTTTTATCTGTAATTTATATTCTAAACACTGTTTGATTTGATAACTTTTCAGGAATTTCTCCATTATAGAACATAATATCACAAATATCTTTTATTAAAATACTTTTCTTCTATAATTATAAATAACAAAAATGTACCTTAAATAAAAAAAAAGTAGTATTAAAAGTACTTGTGGCCATATTTAGATTGGCAACTCGACAAAATCGTATTTCTGTATCAATTATTATCTATAAAAATTGTGTTCTCATTAAAAAACAAATGAGTGCAGAAATCTTACGGTCGTATTAGGCCATCGAGTATGTATATTTTATTTTTGTCACAAACGATTTTGGCATTCGAATTTGAATACCTAAATCTTAAATTGTTTTATTTGGACTGGGGAAATATTATATTAAATGTAAAATTGTGACATTTTAGCGTTTTTATTATTTCAAGAAGAAAACTTGTTCAAAAAACGCCTTCCGTCCCACAAAATTTTGTATTTAATTTCTTTTACTAGTATTCTATTCTGAATTATTTACCGTGTCAAAGGACTTAGCGAGATAAAAAAGTAATAACGAATGCTATGAATGAATCAATGATTTTGAAATTAAAGCATCACAAATATATAAAACATCTTTTTATTTATATATTCAAGGACATATATCTCACATCCATAAACATCTTTTTTTTTTAAATATAAAACAGTAAGAACACAAATTCTCATTAAAATTATATAATAAAACAATAATTTAAAAAAACAAAAAAAAACAAAAAAAAAGTAAAACAAAATTAAAAGAGTATGCACGACCAGCATGCAAGAAAGTTGTGTGTGTAAAATATACATTTATGTATTTATTTTATACATATATTTATAGTATATATAGATTTCTTGGAAAGGTACATTTAAGTTGTCCAATAAACATACACGATATGCACTGTTTTGGAATTACATTCACAATCTTTTGAGTAAAAAATAATGTCTTAAGTCACCGTTATCAACACTGTGACCTGAAACAAGAGAAACAAATTACATACAATTCATTCATGTATTGGTATTCTAATAATATATTGGAAGCAATGTTCCTAAATTTTTGTAAAAAGACAAAAGGATGTAGTAAGAAAAAGAAATGAAACTTACGCGTAAGCTTGGATCAATCGGACTTGGGAGGTCTTGGGGGAAACATCGGCGTCATCATAGGCGTCGCCTGCAACCTCTGTATTTCCGCCAACGTTGTGTGACCCTGTTCGTCCAATTCTTTCCATCTAATGTAGTTCTGTCTCATGTACGTCAACAATTCAGGCATGTCGATAAATGCTGAAATAAAATTCATACGTAGTTGTAGATTACTAATATAGAGGTTCATATACTCAGTTATATGTGTACAGTTTATCCTAGAATTTTATTTTTACACAGTTTGTGCCACGGCCCACTTAAAAATGTGTGAAGCTGGCCCTCCGAAATTCGAAATTTTTAGTTTTAAAAGCGACAACGAAGTCAAACCCTTATTGACCACTCTGTAACTCTTTTTGATCACCCTCAGAAACGTAAATATTTAAAAAAAATTAAAGATCGAGTGCCTGCTGGCCCCTGAAGTTTATATATTTCAAAAAATGTTGAATATGTTTTACCAATAATTGTTTTTCAAATTTTCACACTCTTTAAGGTCACATGTCGAAATATAATTCTAAAACTTTTTGGATTTTTATTGTGCATTCCTTTTGATTAACCATTTTTTTAAAAGACGACATTCGATTTGGAAATTGTGTTTTTTGAATTTTCACACCTTTAGGCACCTTGTAATTATCTTTAGAGGGTAACCAAACGTTGAAATATAATTATTCTAAACCTTTTTATATTTTTATTGTGCCAATTTGGAAATTGTGTTTTTCGAATTTTTACACTCTTTGGGCTCATTATAATTGTTTTAGGGGATGATTAAATGTCGAAATATAATTAATGTTTTGGATCTTTATTGTGCATTCCGGTTGACTGACTATTTTTTTCCAAGACGAAATTCGATTTAGAAATTGTGTTTTTTGAGTTTTCACACTCTCTTTGGGCTCATTATAATTGTTTTAGGGGATGGTCAAATGTCGAAATATAATTATTGTTTTGGATTTTTATTGTGCATTCCGGTTGACTGACTATTTTTTTTTTCAAGACGAAATTCGATTTAGAAATTGTGTTTTTTGAGTTTTCACACTCTTTTTGGGCACTTTTTTTTCCAAGACGAAATTCGATTTAGAAATTGTGTTTTTTGAGTTTTCTCACTCTTTGGGCACATTGTAATTATATTAGAGAGTGACGAAACGTCAAAATATAATTCTGAACCATTTTAGATCTTTATTTGCCTTCCTGTCAATTGGCCATTTTTTCCAAGTCGATATTCAATTTGGAAATGTGTTTTTCAAATTTTTACACTCTTTGGGCTCATTTTATAATTGTTTTAGGGGATGGTCAAACTTCGAAATATAATTATTAACCTTTTTGGATCTTTATTGTGCATTCCGGTTGATTGACCATTTTTTCCAAGTCGATATTCAATTTGGAAATTATTATTTTCGAATTTTTGAACTCTAAGTTTATTAATTATTTTAGGGGATAGCGAAACGTCGAAATATATTCTAAACCTTCTTGGATTTTTAATGTGCCTTCTTGTCGATTGAGCATTTTTTCCAAGTCGATATTGAATTTGGAAATGGTGTTTTTTGAATTATTCACACTTTTTGGGCTCACTATTTTAGGAGATGGTCAAACGTCGATACATAATTATAAAAGTTTTTGAATCTTAATTGTATTTTCCTGACGATTGGTAATTTTTTAGCAATTTGAGATTGTTTATAAAATTTTTGTTTCTATATATTTTCATTATTTTAAGGGAAGGGTAAAAAAAATCTAATAGGTGGTCAAATATGGTCAAAAATTGATATTACGGTGCATGTAGTTTTGAAATATAAACTCCAGGGGGCCAATGGGCACTCCGCCTTTTTTTAATATTTATGTTTCTATGGGTGGTCAAAACAGTTACAGGGTGGTCAAAGATGGTCAATAGGTGGTAAAACGCAGGCCGCTTTTAAAATAAAAATTTTCTATTTTCATAAGGGACATCTTGAAACATTGAAATGAATAAATTTAAAAGATAGGAAGTACAAAATAATTTGAATGAAAGATCATTTTATTATTTTAAATTTACTTTTTACACTTGATGCTTGGCTGCAAAGAGATTTTATGTTAGATTTCTAATTCAGTCAGTTTCAGTCTCAATTTCCATTTTTTTTAACTACTCCTCTTCAGCGACGGCACGTGACAAAAAATTTAAGGAGTTCACAATGACAAAGGTTACAATAGAATATAAAGAATGTTACGCAGGTGCGTGTTGAGCATCCCAAAATATGATAATTTATTTCGATTATTTCGATTATTTCGATTATTTCGATTATTTCGATTATTTCGATTATTTCGATTATTTCGATTATTTCGATTATTTCGATTATTTCGATTATTTCGATTATTTCGATTATTTCGATTATTTCGATTATTTCGATTATTTCGATTATTTCGATTATTTCGATTATTTCGATTATTTCGATTATTTCGATTATTTCGATTATTTCGATTATTTCGATTATTTCGATTATTTCGATTATTTCGATTATTTCGATTATTTCGATTATTTCGATTATTTCGATTATTTCGATTATTTCGATTATTTCGATTATTTCGATTATTTCGATTATTTCGATTATTTCGATTATTTCGATTATTTCGATTATTTCGATTATTTCGATTATTTCGATTATTTCGATTATTTCGATTATTTCGATTATTTCGATTATTTCGATTATTTCGATTATTTCGATTATTTCGATTATTTCGATTATTTCGATTATTTCGATTATTTCGATTATTTCGATTATTTCGATTATTTCGATTATTTCGATTATTTCGATTATTTCGATTATTTCGATTATTTCGATTATTTCGATTATTTCGATTATTTCGATTATTTCGATTATTTCGATTATTTCGATTATTTCGATTATTTCGATTATTTCGATTATTTCGATTATTTCGATTATTTCGATTATTTCGATTATTTCGATTATTTCGATTATTTCGATTATTTCGATTATTTCGATTATTTCGATTATTTCGATTATTTCGATTATTTCGATTATTTCGATTATTTCGATTATTTCGATTATTTCGATTATTTCGATTATTTCGATTATTTCGATTATTTCGATTATTTCGATTATTTCGATTATTTCGATTATTTCGATTATTTCGATTATTTCGATTATTTCGATTATTTCGATTATTTCGATTATTTCGATTATTTCGATTATTTCGATTATTTCGATTATTTTTATTTCAATTATTTCGAATATTTCAATTATTTGAATAATCGAATATTGATTTTGATAATCGCCCAGCCCTAGTGATGGCGTTAGTTTAATTTTTTTTTAAACGAAAATAGCTTACATTTGAAAGGTATTTTGAATCTCTATTCAGCGATAATAATTTTTATTTAATTTATTTTCTAAAAGGGCGAAGGAACATTTAATTCTTATTTTATTACAACCAAACTGCAATAAAAAAAATCATTTTAAAAACATTAATTAAGTCTATTATTATTCATAACCAATTATTAAAATACAATCAATTGGTTTGTTGACAATAAGCAAATCGGCGGTCACATTGCTAATGACTTGTGGAGTAATAATTTGACTGGTTTGGTATCTAATTTTGTCCTTCAGCTCCTATAGATTTATTGGTCTATTTGGTAGACTTTTGATTTTGTATGACCCCACAGGAAAAATCATGGAGAAAAAATACCTTTCAAATGATGTGTTACTTGACTATACTTGCTATAAAAAAAATGAGGTTGTTGCCGGTCTCCGGCCATCAGATGAATGGATTTCTGGATATGAATGTATATGAAATTCGCTCTTGCCTATAAATATGATTAGTTCTTGCAAACATATATTGGAATAACTTTGAAAAATTATTAAATAAGATAATTCTAAATATTGAAATAAAAATTAAAGTTCTTCCTTGGGATTTATTATTTCCTTACAACGTTTTAAATTCTTTGTGTAAAGTTGTAATAATTTTTAAGTTAACGTCCTTTTTTAAATTTCCAAAAGTTCTTTTGTTTCAGGGAGTCAGGGGATCAATGTATCGCTGTTAATCAGAAAAAAATTAGACAGTAGGTACTTACAGGTTAAAGGATTCACATAAATCTTCTAGTCACTTACCGTTCCAAGCTTCAAACATATCGTTGATAATGTAATCGACGAATCCGATTTGCGATTTGGGTATAGAACACGAACTCCTGTCGAACATCGGCATCACCACCGGCAAACCTTTGTTCTTCTCTTCGTCAGTTTGATGGAAATATTCCTCAGTTATTCGTCTAGCCCATTCCACGCACAATCTGAGAGGTCTGGTAGGATTCGAAACGTCGGCGCACTTAATCATCATCCTCTTGACTAGAGTTACGTTTTCCGGTACTGATAATAGCGGGGGGTATTCATTCACGTCGCTCTGAAAAATTCATTAGATCTGGAAATCAGCTAAACCAATATACATACTAAATTATGGTGTATAAATTGATGGGATTTTAGTGGAAGTATGTGGAAGGCCGTGGTATTCTATTGAAAGTTCGTAGAAGTCCGAGAAAGTCCTTGGAATTCCAGAAGAATTCCAGTGGTTTTACAACTTGTTTTATACTGTCATTTCGTTCAAATAGTGGATATTTCCAGTTTTTGACAAGTTCCAATAATTTTTTTCCAACGGACCCATACGGATATACGGGCTCCTAACAGACGCTGCTCCACCTATTCTGGAACACCCTGTATATAGGGTCCATATGTAAGGTTTAAATTGAGATTTCATAGCGAGTTATAGTGGAAATCCGTGAGATCTTAGTGGAATTCTAATGAGATTCAATGTAATTCCAGTAGCGTGGAATTTAAAAGTAAGTATATGGAAATCAGTGAAAGTCCGTGGAATTCCGAGGAAGTCCTTAGAATTTCAGTGGTTTTATACCTCGTTTTATATTTTCATTTCATTTAAATAGCGGATACACTCACTGCCTGACAAATTCCTATACATTTTTTCCTACGGACCCCAATACGGATATACGGGTGAGCCCCTAATAGACGCCCCTAAAAATCTCGAAAGATTGTCCACCCATTCTGAAACACCCTGTATGGTTTCAATTGATTTAAATTATGAATGGTTAATTTGTGGTTAAATTTTATTAAAAAATATTTGCTTATAGGTTTGTCGTTTAAATAAATTGGGATTGGTAGATTTCAATTGATTTGAATTATGAATGATTAATTTGTGGTTAAATTTTAATGATCCATATCTATGGTTTTACTTGGGTTTTTACTGTGAGTTATAGTGGAAATCCATGGGATCTTAGTGGAATCCTAGTGGAATAGTAGTGGAATTCTAATGGGTTTCAGTGTAATTCCAGTAACGTAGAATTCCAGCGAAAGTACGTGGAATTCCAATGAAAATTCGTGAAATTCTGAGGATGTCATTGAAATTCCAATGGAAGTGCGTAGAATTTCAATAGAAATCTGTGAAATTCCCGAGGATTATACACTTCGTTTTATACTTTCACGTTCATAGTGAATACTTCCAGTTTTCACATTTTTTCCTACAGACCCCCAAACGGATTTCACAATGTAATATTAATGGAATTATAATGGGATTCAGTGGAATTCCAGTGTAAGTACGTGGAATTCCTTGGAGTTGTAGTAAAATTCTTTGGAATTATTTAAGGATGGGAAATTATGATGTACAAATTTTTCCAAGAGGTTTGCTCCTAATAAAAATTTAAATGTGATGATTCTGTTTACTTACGTCTAAATCGGAACTGGACGATTTGGTACAGAACACGTTCACAAACTTGGCTAGATGTTCGAAATGTTTCGTCATTTCCGTAGCCAAAATCATATCCACGACATTCGATCTGGCCATTTTGTACGTTTCTCTATCTAAGTTTTTGAAAATATTTATCCTTTCGTCACCTAAAAAAAAAAAAAACAAAATTTACAACTCTTATGTCAACATCGTATAATTTTTTTTGTCAAAGAACTTTTTCTTGAAGGAAATCAAAAGACAAAGAATATTAGCATAAGATAGAAAGAAATAGAGTAGGATAAAAAAATAGAAGAGGATCAAGTTGAAAAAGAAAAATAAGGAGGAAACTGTCGTGCAATCAGTCCGATCCTGATCTTTGTTTTCGCTTCTGCTCTTTGGCAGATCGTCTGTGTCGGGCTTTCACTGCTCTCCTCGAAAAGTTACTTTAAGGATCTTTGCACGCGGGCCGACTCAAAAGAAGGATTTTAAAACGTCTAGACTAGCATCGAGATTCTTTGAGGCAGGACTGGATTTTTCTGGGCCGTTATATTTTTGTATATAAGTGGTTTCTTTTGCTGTTATTGAGTTAGTTTTAGAAATAAATATTGTGGAGTAAAGATAAATTGTTAAAGTAAATATAAAAAGGTGTAGTTATGAGTTCAAATAAATTAGTTACAAAATAAGTTTAGTGAATATAAATCAGATCAATTAAACTGTTTAAAGTGACAATACTAATAATGAAACGCTAATTACCTACCTAATGTGAGTTTAAACGTCAGAGCGGCATGATGTGACTCTAAAACGGTCACGTCATTATACAGTATGGCCAAATGACTGTCAGAGTTGGCAAGAAAAGCGCTAGATTTTCCCGGATGGTCCAAATCGTGAGCTGCGGCCGCTATCAACGTTGTCGCTTCGTCCAGTTGTTCCATGATAGATTTCATCCGCTCCTTTTCCAAAAACCCGGCCGTTGCCTTAAAACCAAAAAGTTTGTTAGGTCAAACACCTCTGCTTATTTAAAAACTTAAAATAGTTGTCTGTCAAATTCGCATTTTTTAAACTTTAAATAATGACCTATTTTGAAATGTGAAAAAGTTATTAAAGAAACTATAGAATATTCTCTATCAGAAGATAGTTATAAAACCTTTTGAAAGCAGTAAGCCGTAGACTTAATAACTATTTTTAATACTTCAATTTGATATACACAAATTATTATTTAGTTTGTGCAAATTTAGAGTTCATAAACAGTTTCTGCTTCGAAAATAATAAAAAACGACGTTGACGTTTTTTGTCTATCGAATATACCTGTCACATTTGACATATTTTCAAAAAATTGCAATAAGTCAGGTTATTTCTCAAAATTTCGAAAAATATTAAATGAAATTGTTTCTTTTTAGATTTTACCAAACATCCAAATGAAATTTTGAGAAAATATCTAAATTATTGTTTGTTTGTTTTTGAAAATATTGTCAAATTTGTCAGGTATAGCCGATCGGCAAAAAAAATCGTCAACGACATTTTTTTATTATTTTCTTAGCCAAAACTGTTCATGAATTCTAAAATATATAAGTATATTTTTTAAGAATTGAAAACCAAATTTAACTAATTTTGACTGTATTGAAATAGATGTTTTTATACGAAAAATATTTGTGTTGATTCCCATACCCCTGACCGGTACACTACATTAGAATGACGTAATTTCTGTTTCAATGACAGTTGACTTTAAACAAAAAAAGTATATAAAGTGCAGCTTCAGGGGCCACGCTACTCCCATATTTAATCGGATTTATTCAAAATCTAACGGCTTCTTCCTCTCACAGAGCTTGATTTTTGATAAAATTTTATCATTTATTCGTTTTTGAGTTAGGATTTTTTTTAATATTTCAACCCCCCCTAAACCCTCCATTTTTATTCAGATGTTTTCAGAATCAATTGGCTTTATCTTCTTATAGAGCTTGATTGTTAGTAAAAATTTCATGTTGATATCGCTTTTCGTTTTTCATTTACGATTTTTTTTTTAATTTCAATCCCTCTTAACCCTTTATTTTCGTATCCTTATAGAGCTTAATTTTTACTGAAATTTTCAAATTGATATCATTTTTTGATTTTAACTTTTAGTGTGGACTAAAAAACGTGGCATTGGAAGGATATTTTTAAAAAAACGTTTAAAATTTGATGAGAAGGATATTTGTACAAAAATTTTTAAATTTGGACCAATATTAAAAATTTTGGTATCTTGAAAGTAAACCTATAATACTCTTCACGGACTAAATGTGTGAAGAGTATAACAAAATGTAAATGAATATTTATCTTAAAGCTTGTGTGGAACTGTTTGAAAACCCTAACAGAGCTGGGTAATCAAAACAGACTAACTTTAGTCTGGATACCAGACCACAGAGGACATAAGGGTAACGAAAATATTGATTTACTAGCCCGAAAAGGAGCCTCAAAGGCTTTTTTGGACTAGAACCCTGTGATGCCACAAAGACAGCCATTGCCAAAACTCACCAAACATCTACTAAGCCAGAACAAGAAAAATACTGGAATATTAGTTAGCCTATTAATAGGGTATTGTAGGCTTAACAAACATATGCATAACATTGGCCTGGCAGAAAGACTGAGATTCCTCACAGATTGGAAAAGAAAAACTAATAACATCGTAAATATAGCATCAATGTTCAATCAGTGTTAAAAATTATACAAAGATTTATTATAATAAAAAACCGGGAATTTGAATTCTGTTACACATTTAAAAATTACCGGCACCTCAAAGACAACAACAGGTATTCTTTCTTTCTTTCTTTCTTTCTTTCTTAAATTACAGTCCACTTAAGATTTTGGATAATATTTGGTTGTAATTCGCAATGCTAGTATTAGGACAATTAGAATATTGTATACCTGGTAAGGACGCATGGAATGTAAACCCTTATTGTCTTCAGAAATTTTGTATACAATTATATCTGACTATGCCATGTCTCCTTCTTGTCTTTTTTTCCATGCAAATCGAACTAATAATAGCGTGATTGAAATAAAGTAGATTAAATTCTTACTTGCATAACGTCGGCAGCGTGCGTACTATTGTGATAAGTGTTTTCAGTGTGGTAATTCGCTTCGATAACCGTCAACCAGTTGAACAAAGTCTTTTCGTCGCAGTTTAGAACGCTGGCCACTTCGAAATGATTGAACAATGTCATCCCCAAGTATTGCAGCGGCCTGTGCTTGGTTATCTCTTCCAGTCTAAATATGTCGAACTCCCAGGCCAGGCAGTTCTCCAATAAATCTCTGATAGCTACAGGTACCTATAGAACGTTTTGTTATAATATCCGAAAGTACAACGTGTCCCAAAAAGTTTTATACAAATGGAAAAAAAGTTTCTTACATTTCACAAAAATTGGTATATTACATTACGAATGTGGTGAGTGAAATTTTTCCCACAAGTGGGAGATAATGTCGCATACGCCAAGTGCGTCAATCACACGAGTATAAAAAATCACATTTACACAAGTACAATATTTTTCCTACGACTACAATAATTATTTATGCAACAAGTGTGTAAAGTTACTCTTTTTTGACAAATGTGAATATGAATTACATGAGTCAAAAGAGGAGTTGCATACAATATTTTTTCTACTACCGTATACATTATCCACTAATATTAGAAATATAAAAATTACTTTTTTCAATAGTTCGTAAAGTAAAATTAGCTAGTGTGAGCCATCAGCTTATGTCACTTGAATTATCTAATCAAATATGTGTATTAACCAACAAAGAAAACATAAAAATAATGTCGCCTTAATAATTATTTATGAAACCATTTGCGAAATGCCTTATTTTATGTAACGAGTGAATATTTGCAGGATGAGCAGAGAGAGGTCCCACAACATGAACTAGTTACATAAAACGGCATTTCGTAACGTGTTACATACAATATTTTTTATAATTTTTACTAACATTTGAGTAAAATTGTGTTTTGATTACTGACAACTAGCCAATCAATATTACTTTCTTGAATTGTTTAATTGGATATGCATCATTTTATTGACAATTAGAACCACGATTAAAATATCATTATAAATTACTTATTCTCAACGACTATATTCATAATTAAAGTTATTTAGTTTTTAAAAAACTGTGTTATTTTGTCATGTATTGTGTTTTAATTATTTTGTGCTGATTTGGACTAGAAAATAAGGACCAAAACAACATTACTACTAGGTTGTAAGTTTAACCAAATTTTATTTTTATAAGTTAATATGTCCTTCTTTGATATAAACTTTCAATAATAATGTATATTATTGATTTTAAAACAAAAAAAAAATTGTTAACAATAAATATCTTGTATCTAGGCATAAAAATAAATGTTAACAATTTAATCATCAAATCGATTTTATTATTAATATGGACATTACATAGATAAAAATAGAAATTATCGTCTGACATATTTGACAGCTAATGCATAAGACTAAATAGTACGATATGTGTAACTTTCCTAAAGGTCGTAGGAAAAAATTATTTTGATAAATATCATAATAAAGCATGAAATTTGAAAAATAAAAAAATCTAATACTTAAATCAAAGTTACTTATAAATAAGTGCAATGATTTAAACTTAAGCATATTTTTTAATTTCTATTAACGTTTAAATTATATTTTACTTTGCATTGAAATTTAAAAGTATTTTACTCTTCATTGTAAATCATTATACTACCTATATTTTACACAGCTGGGCAGAGTACTGCGTTAAAGTACTCATGAGTACAATGATTAGCTTTAAAAAGTACTCATTAGTATTCTGAGTATGACTTATATGAATAATAATCAGAACAAATGAGTACTTTTGTAAATTTTAGAGAGTACTCGTGAAAAAATTGAATAACGAGTATGAGTACCATACATATTTTAAATAATTCTAATTAATGACTCAAGTTTAGAAAAAATAATTAGTAATAGTAAGTCAGTAAGTAACAAACAAAAAACGAGAGTTTCACTTATCTTCTATAAATTAGTAGTGGGATTTTGAAAATTAATGGAATTGTCAGATATATTTTGGGAAAAGTGGCAGAGGGTTTTAGAATTGTCAGTTGGGAAATTAAAAAAAAGTTAGAAACTATTATATTGTAAAGTTAAGATAGATATATATTAAAGTTGAATTGTTCCACACCATCGTACAAGATTTAATACCATGTAGGTACTTTTTCAATACCTTTGTAAAACGTAAAGATTTGTAAAGTTTTCTTTATTTCAAAATAGAGCAAAATATGATTTAAAGAGTTGACAGGAACGAAAAAATATGTTTAAATTTTTTTATTGTGTCTTTGGCTTCTACAACTTAGGCCATTAGCCTCGTGTTCTATGTAGATTATGGATTGTACTAGTAGTCTAATACTCCATAGTGCAGGAGTGCTAGTACTCTAATACTCCTGCACCCCTACAGACAGGCCTTGTTACTGGTTCCCAGCGCCACTTTAGGAACAGCACTGTTAATTAGAACCCAACAGTGAATGATCGGAGTAGGGAATCCTACCAATGCATCAGAATTATTTTTAAATAAATAATTTAAACAAATCTCGGTCATCGGTGGGATTCGAACCGCCGACCCTTCGATTCGCAAGTCCAGACTCTACCAGTGAGCCACCCACTCCCCCTCTAAGTTATAATTTGAAGTAGGTAAATTTTGTTAATTAGACATTTGTATGTATTGCCTTTATTATGTATTGCCATTATTATAATCTACTATTATGCCATTAAAATCGAGTAAAAAAACTCCTGTATGAGGACCCCTTTTTATTTTTAAATATAATTTTATTTAATTATATTTTTTTTGTTGTTGTCATTATTAAGATAGAACAAAAATGCAAAAACACGTTTCTAGTAGGGGAGCCCCCTCCTCCCTTTAATTTTTAATTTATTTTTATTTTTATTATAACGGCAACAGAAATACACATTCTGTGAAAATTTCAACTGTCTACCTATTACGGATCATAAGATACAGCCTGCTGACAGACAGACGGACGGACAGCCAAGGCTTAGTAGGTGCAGTTGGTTACCCTTCGGGTACGGAACTTTAAAAAAGAGTGAAAGGAAAGATGAAGAAAGTTGTTTAAATTCACATTGACTTTAATTTAAAAAACTTTCTTCATCTTTCCTTTTAAGTGAGAATGGAATAGGAAAGAGACCTTAGCAGGAAAGAGAGTTCGCCAGAAGGAGAAATAAGAGGGACGCAGTAGAGGAAAACAGCAGAGATCAGGCAGGAGAACAGGAGGTATACAAAGTCAGAAGTTAGAGCAGAAAGCAGAAGAACACGGAGCAAGAAGAAAAAAGCGAAGCGGAAGAATTCGATCTTTTTTCAAATTCAACATTCATCGATTAGTATTATTTTTAATTATTTTTTTAAACATTTTAAGGGAAGCCAAATGAGCCATAACCCTAAAAGCTCTAGGATATTGGAATGGTTTAATCTTTCCAAGGTGGAATCATTATATTATATTATGCGCGCGTCGTTACTCGTTATATGTGGACATAAAAAGTACTCGAAATTTTTTGTCCCATCCGGATGAAAGTACTTTCTAGTACCTATTATTACTGAGTACTTTGAGTACTCGAGTACAATTTTGAGTACAATTTTCTCGAATACGGCCCAGCTCTGATTTTACAAAATATAAGAGATGCAGTAGGTAGTTTTCAGCAAAAATATTTTTTTTATGTAACGTAAAATAATTTTTTTTCTACTTGTATGAAACTTTTTGGGACATATCTTGTATTAATTGACTTATTTTAACAACTTACAACTCGAAAACGAAAAAGATATCAACATGCAGTTTTCACTAGACTCTATAAAAAATGTACTTCAAGTTTTTGTTAACATTGTTGCCACATGTATTTTTTTTTCTGGAAAGTTCCGAAAAAGAATGAACTTTTTTAAATAGAACATCCTAAAATTTTTAATAACCCGGGAAAACCAGTTCTTCCCATTTCCAAAAATGTATATATTCTCTACATATACTCAAGTTTTTTGGGAAATATTTACTTTTTTATGAAACCATGTCAAAATACTTATAACTCGAGAATCAAAATAAGCGATTTTCACTGCAATTCTTTAAAATGGTTCACTTTTCTTTCTAACACGGTTGCCAAGGCTCAAACGTCTAAAATTTTCATATTTTTTTTTTTTAATTAAGATTAAGGGCGAAAATAGTAATTTATGTTGCAAGGACGAAAAGTTGAGTTTTCCGGGCGACTACGAGAAGCTGAAATGATATTTTCAGTAATTTTTCCTGAACTAAGTTGGCTATGAGAACAATTGAACAATTTCTGTCGTGTTACCGTGCTCATGTCACATTAATTTAATTACCTAGTTTATTAAAAATTATTGTAAAAAAAAAAATACAAAAAAGAGTAGTGACGAAGAATTCATTACGGGCATGCCCCCAGAAATTAGAAACGCGGCAAATTTGGCGTTCTTGCATTTGATTCCAAAAAAATTAAAAATGGTATATGAAAGAACCTACCTCAGATTTAAGAATTCTTATCGGTATGCAACACTTTATACACTTTATGAAGTATAATACAAAAGTTCTACTTTTCCACTGTTTTCTGTCCAAAAAACGGCGTTTTTTAACACATTCGAATGAAAATTAATTTTTTACAAACATTTTGGACAACGTTTGAGACTTATTTATTTTTAAGAGCGAAAGCCATAATTTCGGTTCAAAAAGGTTACTTTTTTCTCCGGCACTTTCCAGAAAAAAAACTAGATGTGGCAACAATGTCAACAAAACTTGAGGTACATTTTTATAAGTCTAGTAAAAATTACATGTCGATATATTTTTTCGTTCTTGAGTTATAACTCATTAAAATGTATCAGTGGTAATCTTGTATTGTCATTTATTGACTTACCTTGAGTATACCGCTTCTGGACTGTCGAAACACAGAAGAATCGTTACTGCTTCTTCTAGACGACCCGCTTAGAGTAGGCGCGGGTTGTTTCTGGAAAAATATTAACGCTCCGCTATTAAAAACAATTAAAAAACATTCCGATAATATACTCTTACCGATAATAAAGCAGTTATTAAATCAGAAACGACTGGTTCGTCTGATCTGATTCTTAAATCCTCTTTGACGTGCGTCGAATACAGTTCACAACTTTTCAAAATATCTTCTACTTTATCTAACAATTGTACTACCGACGGATTTTGGTTGGCATTTTCTCTGGCTTGATCGATCAAACCCACCACCTAAAAAAAAACAGGTGTTTGCGATATTTGCCGCGTATGGCAACACTGCCAACTCAGTCTATATTTTAAGCTTCCAGATTTGTTTAGACCAGTGGATCCCAAACTTTTTTTATGGCGCCACCTTTTTGAGAAAAAGAAGTGGCCACGCCTCCCCATTAAAAGAAAAAATTCTTTCTTGTATAAGTAGGTCGTCAAAAATGATATATAAATTTCAACGTCGCGCGCCGTTTTCGCGATTAAAGGATAGATGGGAAAATATTTTATGAAAAATGAAGTAATCTTTAATAGTTATTTATGCAACAAGTGCAATAAACACTTTTTGCACGAGTTGCATGCAATATTTTTTCTACGTTCATGCAAAAACCAAAAAATGTTTTATAGAACTGCAGTTGTATTATCCAAATCATGTAGCCGTGATCGTGTACCTTTGTTTGAGGCATTTATTTACGTTTGTGTTCATAATTTGAAATGACATTTTTAATAAAATACATTTTTTTATTAATTTATTTATTAAATGATTGAAAATAATACAAAATATGCAATTGTTTTTAAAACGTAACACAGAAAATGAAAATTGACTAAATATTTGGCATTGATTTGAATATTTATGTTTGTCATGATCATAAAACGCTGTAGTAAAATGACAGATGAGTGCAATAAAATTTTTATTGCACTAGTACAATGAAGAACCAGTTTTTTTACTAAATATAGTTCAATAAAGTTTTGTTTTTTGCATGAACGTAGAAAAAGTAAATTTTCGCCAAAAATATGACCTAAGGGAGGTCTGTTAAACTATAACAAGTATAACATAGAATGCCAATAATTATACAGGGTGTTTCAATAAGAATGGGACAGAGAACAACAGAAGATTTTCTGATGAAAAATAAGACGATAAACGAAACATGCTCAGAAAAAATTATTTATGGCACTAATTTTTTATTTCTTAGTATAATTCAGTAAACATTGTTGGTGTCATAAGATGCACCTATCAGTGAAACTATCAGTTAAATAAAGTTTACCAGTGACGTACAACACGGATAAGTAACACATTCCCTGCAAATTTTACGCCATGTCCAAAAACTTGTTTGGAATATACTTTTACATTTTTTGATGTTTTTTAAGTAAATCATGTACTCTTTTTGGGAAGTCATAAAGTGATTGGTTTTCGAGATATTTACTCTCAAAAGTGGATATTCTTCATTTTAATTTTGTAATTTTGATTTTTTTTTAAATTTGCACTGAGTAAACGTGGTGTCATAAGATACTTCAATCAGTAAAAAAAATTAGTTAAATAAACTTTACCAGTGGCGTACAACATGGATAAGTAACACTTTCATTCTCTCTAAATTTTATGCCATTTACCAAAAACTTATTTGGACTAAAACCAACAATGTTTACCGAATTTAGAAAAATTATACTGAAAAATAAAAAACATTATGGCCAATAATATTTTTTGAATTTTTCAACGGAAACCAGTAATATTTTATCTAAGCATGTGTCGTTTTATTGTCTTATTTTTAATCAGAGAATCTTCACTTTCTCTGTCTCCCATTCTTAATTAAACCCTGTATATCTTCATTCCAGTTTTTATTTGAATTTGTCAAATATGATTATTTATTGTTTTAAAGCTAACAATTTGTATTAATACGCCAGGGCTCTCGCGCGCCTCCCTTAATATTGTTTCGGGCCCCACGGTTTGGGAACCACTGGTTTGGACTGTTTATTTTTGTAATGGCTTGTTAGACAACGTTGTAAATAGATCAACTAAGAGCACCACGATTACACTGCTTCCGAAAATCAGCGTGAGAAGGCGCCATGGGGGCAGTGTTGAGAATTAAAACGTGCATAAGTGGTTTGCGACTTGACTAAGAGTACCAAAATGGCGGCCATCGTTGAAGTGAATAAGTATAGGTAAACGAAAAATATAAGAGGGAAACGAAAAAACAAAGCCAGAAGGACATAAGCCTATTATTATGAGTCGGATTTGCATGAAATAAATGAAATTATAAAGATAATTAAATGAAAATGTTAAGATTAAGGTTGACAATGTCATAAGGGCATTAGTTAATATCTCCGCTATTATTGGTCGGATTTGCATGGGACAAAAGACATCATGAAGGAGACGTGGCATAGATTAACGTCGATGAAAAATCATGCGCAGCGGCAAAGACAAAAGGGCCTTCGTTAATATATCCGCTATTATTTATTAGATTCGAATGGGAAAGCTGGGGAGTGAAGTAAATGTAATGTATGACAGCTAATGCGTAGCGTAAATCAAAACAAGCATTAACGTATATAACCATTATTATTGGCATGGATTTGAACAAGGCAAACGACATTCGATGTGAACTGCGTCCATTAGCTGTCATTTACGGGTTAACATGCGATTGCCAAAAGGACCTTAGCTCATAAAGTGCTGTGTATAAAAAACGCACTGAGGAGCTTATGACTGATCTCCGAAAGGAGGCATAGGTTCGAATCCTACGCCAGGGGCAATTATTTCCCGCTCAAAGTTAACACGTACTTTAATTTTATTCATTGCTCAGTATCGTGTCTAGTAAAGAGAATAGACGTAGAATTAAAGAGTTTGGGGAAAAAGTTAGGGAACTAAGTAAAGACGTGAAATTATATGAAGACAAAAAGCAAGTATAAAGATACCTAATACATTTAAGTATTTGGGATAAAGTCTTTGAGATATTATGTCACGTTAATCAGCATCTGTTTGGAAGAATTCAACCGACGCAAATATAGCTATTCTAAAGATTAATTTTATTATACTTATAAGCTATACTAAACAATATTGCATACCAATGTAACTAATGCTGAAATTAATGATTACGTTTTGACAATCAAACGGAATCGCAAACGATGATTTTTTCAGAGGTAAATGATATGAAGCTAGATATGTTTTCTATATTAATCGATGAAGCAAAAAAGCTACAAGTTACACTTTAATTTTGATTATGGTACTGAAGGAAAACTGGAAAATTATACGTAATTAGCTATATGACATTATCATCTACTTTGTTCATAATACTAAAAATTCTTGTAACTGATTTATATTAAACGTTAATTTCATGTATTCTTCATAGCGCCGTTTATTCCATGCAAATTTAGCCAATAACAACGGAGATATTAACTAATGCCCTTATGACATTGTCACTTCGCATGATTTCTTCAATGTTAATCTATGCCGCATTCCCTTCATAAAGTCATTGATTGTATGCAAAATTGACTAAAAATAAAGGAGATATAAGCTTATAACCTTTTGACTTTGTTTTGCCGTATGTCTCGTATATTTTTCGTTTATCTATACTTGATCACATCAATGGTGGTCGCCATCTTAGATCGCTTATTCAAGTTTCAATTCTCAACACTGACAAGTAGCGCCATCTCGCGGTAAGTTTTGAATTAGCGTCTTTGCGCTCTTTCTTAGTTGTACTTACTTTTGTGATGGGAGCCTCGATAGGTAACGCGTTCAATTTGGCAAGTGACGTCCTACGTAAAAAGTCGCTACTTATACTTCTCACGTCCGTCGAGCCTCTTCTAATAGAATGTATACTACCCCTAGATTGAGCTAACATATTCAAATTATCGGAAGGATTCAAATCAAATACCATTATGAAATGCGTCGGTATCCTAGAAATACACAAGAAAACTTTATTAAAATTTTACGATATGAAATTCAGCATTAAGGTGATTAAAGCATCTCTTATAAATTTTGGACAAGGATATCTGAAAAAGGAATTTTGATAAAAAACTGAAATTTTGGTAAAATAAAGTAGGTAATATTTATTATCTAGTGATCATGTATTTTTAAATTTTAATTCCTTCCAGGGGAAAACGAAAATCAAGAAACATCAAAATATCATGATGAAAATACATGAATCCCTCAATAGTACAATTCTGAATATATTACCCAAATTTTAACTCTTAGGGCTCTTTCAGGCACAACGAATTTGTTCGTACGGAGAAAATTCGTACGAATTTTTTCCGTGTCTTGGTAGAATTCACCCTCGACGGTTTTCTTTTCCGTGAACCGTCTTTAGCTATTGTATTTGATGTCAGTTAGTTATCGACATGAATCGAAAGCGCACCATTGACATGTGGCTTTTGTACAGTCATATACAAAAGTATGGGAAACGACATAATCGTATATACTAGGTGCTCCCAATTAATCAGAAAAGAGATGAAGTGGGCCCATTCATTTGTTTAATGGAAAATTTACGTGCAGACGAAAATACAATTTTTAATTACCTTCGGATGTCCATTGTATCCTATGATGAGCTTCATAACCGACTAAAAACAATATTCAGCGGCATAATATTAAATGAGAAACTGCATTGAACCTATGTTAATAATAGTTGTGACACTGAAGTAAAAGAGTTCTATGTTTGTTTCGTTACTAGTTTATTAACTACAAAATCAAAAAACAAAATAAAATCAATATGTCAAACTACTAGTTTATAATATTGTCATTCATGATTATATTGACGCGTAAACCAAAATACAAAATATTTATGATAAAACCGTTATATATGAAAGCCCGTATAAAGTTACATAGGCCACTGATAGACGGCGACGGTACGGTACCGTACAATTCAGTTGTTGACACGGCTGTTTTCAAATCGACCGTACGGGAAAAATCCGTCTCCGTCCAGTATGAAAGCTGCAGTTAATTTTATTAAGGGCTCTTTCAGACACAACGATTTCCTCCGTACGGAAAAAATTCGTACGGATTTTTTCCGTGCGTCGTTGATAGTAAACTAATAAAATTAACTGCAGCTTTCATACTGAAAGGAGACGGATTTTCCCGTACGGTCGATTTGAAAACAGCCGTGTCAACGACTGAATTGTACGGTACCGTACCGTCGCCGTCTATCAGTGGCCTATGTAACTTTATACGGGCTTTCATATATACCGATTTTTAGCCGTCTGCCGTCCGTTATTGCGTGCCGTTTGGTTTTTATTTGTCATAAATAATTTGTATTTTGGTTTACGTGAATGACAATATTATAAACTAGTAGTTTGACATATTGAATTTATTTTAATTTTTTGATTTTGCAGTTAATAAACTAGTAACAAAACAAACATAGAACTCTTTTACTTCAGTGTCACAACTATTATTTCCATAGGTTTAATGCAGTTTCTCATTTTAGTATTATACCTCTGAATATTGTTTTTTAGTCAGTTATGAAGCTCATCAGAGGATACAAATGACATCCGAAGGTAATTAAAAATTGTATGTTCGTCTGCACGTAAATCTTCCATTAAGCAAATGAATGAGTCCACTTTATCTCTTTTCTGATTAAATGGGTGATATCTTTCCGATACTTTTGTATATGACGGTACAAAAACCGCATGGCAATGGTGCACTTTCGATTCATGTCGATAATCAACTGACCTAAAATACAATAGCTAAAGACGGTCCACGGAAAAGAAAACCGTCGAGTGTGAATTCTACAAAGACACGGAAAAAATTCGTACGAATACGGTTTTTTTCCGTGCGGCGTTGATAGTAAACTAATAAAATTAACTGCAGCTTTCATACTGGACGGAGACGGATTTTTTCCGTACGGTCGATTTGAAAACAGCCATGTCAACGACTGAATTGTACGGTACCGTACCGTCGCCGTCTATCAGTGGCCTATATAACTTTATGCAGGCTTTCATATATGACGATTTTTAGCCGTCTGCCGTCCGTTATTGCGCGCCGTTTGGTTTTGATTTATCATAAATATTTTGTATTTCGGTTTACGCGTCAATATGGCAATGAATGACAATATTATAAACTAGTAGTTTGACCTATTGGTTTTTTGTTTTTTAAATTTGTGGTTAATATACTAGTAACGAAACAAACATAGAACTCTTTTACTTCAGTCTCACAACTATTATTTTTATAGGTTCAATGCAGTTTCTCATTTTAGTATTATGCCTGTGAATATTGTTTTTTAGTCAGTTATGAAGCTCATCAGAGGATACAATGGACATCCGAAGGTAATTAAAAATTGTATTTTCGTCTGCACGTAAATCTTTCATTAAGCAAATAAATGGGCCCACTTCAACCCTTTTCTGATTAATTAGGTGCACCCAGTATATACGATTATGTCGTTTCCGATACTTTTGTATATGACGGTACAAAAGCCACATGACAATGGTACGCTTTCGTCTCATGTCGATAACCAACTGACATCATAAAATACAATAGCTAAAGACGGTTCACGGAAAAGAAAACCGTCGAGTGTGAATTCTAGCAAGACACGGAAAAAATTCGTACGAATTTTCTCCGTGTGTCTGAAAGAGCCCTAACTATTTTTTAAAATTAGCCAAATTCCCAAGAATAAAAAATGCGGCTCCCGTGCGAAAGCGTTTGCAGAATTTAGGCTGCCACGATTTGGTGAGGGCGATTTTCGGTCAAAGTTAGAGGGTCGCGTGTTGATGTATTCTTTGATGTATTCTTTGAATATTTGATTTTTATAAGTCAGTAGTTTAACTGTTGTTTTCTAGTTTTTATTTTTAATTATATTAAAAACGTCATTCGTTTTTACCTCTCTATTTTAGACCATACCTGATGATGAGGATCTGATCTCCTCGAAACCGGTCGTATTAAATTACTCTTGTGAGATCTTAAGGACCACTCTTGTTTTATTTACCTCTTTTTTGAGTAAAATTTTAATTTGTAATTGTTAGAATGTTGAATTTTTAACAAAAATCCTAACAAACTTTTAAATAAAATAGTTCAAGACATGGAATTGCAAGGGTTAGAAGACGATTTTTTAAATGAGGGAAGCCATTTTATGAACTATTTCCACTCATTTCAAACGTTTTGGTTTCATATTTTGCTTTAAAACTTTTTATTCCAATTATTGTAAACAAAACCTTACGTGAATGCGATGGGTGATGTAATGGATGGATTGTAAATATTTGGTTAGTTTCTAGAAAATAGATCAAAAATGATATAAAAAGTAGACCAAATACATCATATAAATTTGGCAAAATGGGTAAGAATGAACGTGAATTCGCTTTCCCCGAGAATCCAACATTTATGTGTTGTGTGAATTGCATGTGAAGTGAAGCCGTTATTCGCTTCACAAGTATATTCCATCGAAATTCGACGTCCAAATATAATCCAGAATTAGACGTCCTTTGAATGGTCAAAAGTGTGCCATTTTTATACTTAACTGGACGTCCAGATATCCAAAATTGTATATCGAACGGAAGTCCAATGGATCTATTTGTGCTGTCTTGGTAACAACAAAAGAGAAACTTCTGGCAAGCACTATTTTAGGATTATATGCTTACCTTCCAGCGCAAGCAAACGGTACAGCCTTGCATGCAGCCACGACTGAGTCTAAAGGTTTCTTCTTAAGTGTCACCGTCCCGTACCATTCCTTTGCTCTGAGCAACGACGAACCAATGGTGCTGGCCTGGATGGGATCGAAAAGGATTTGATCTTGGAGAGTTTTGCCAAGCGCTTCGTCTTGTCTGATGCCCAGTTGTTTTTCGCAAGCTCTGTTTATGTACTGGAAGAAATAGATGAAATTGTGTAAAATACTTTGATTAAACTATACTAAATGTAATAATTTAAGCAGAGACGTTGAAAACTTTTAAATATTAAGTGCTTAAAATACACTTTAAAAAGATCCAAAGGTTGGAAACGTGGAGAAAAGTGGTAAAAAGTTAGGTGATAATTTTTTATCGACACGAATGCATAATTGATAGATGGGAGAATAAATGGCTTAAATTTTTAATTTGGCCATAACTTTTTAGTAAGATGGGCAAAAATGTTTTTAATAAAAAATCTAATTTTAACTAGTTATGTGATAATATAATTTATTCTCATGAATAGAAATCCATGTTAATAAAAGGCATACTTTTTCAGATGTGTAATTAATTCCCATACATTTTCTAAGCTCTGTACGTGAAACAAGCGCATTAAATATACATTTTCTTTTTAGAAACATGATATTTTTTTATGTGTTCGGCAAACATACTAACCTGCAATTTGTAAGTGTCATCCGTGACAATGACGACGTCTTTACATTTATCAAGGGCCGAATACAGCCCTTGGGTGGTCGCTTGATTGGCCAACGGTCGGACGTCGCTGTGCTTCAGCAGGATCATCTCGTTAACGCATGTTATGATGTTTGTCGTCTCCACCATACACTAAAAAGAAACATCGTTTGATCATACTTTATTATAATCGTGTAAGGGTGCTGATTTACAAACGGTTAAATTATAATTAATGGAACACACCGTTTACATGCTTCGGAGTATTACTAGACAACAAATTGAACTTCAAAACACACTGTATAATCATAAAAAAAAGTATTTACGCGAGCCAAACATTTTACAGGATTAACATACAAGAACCCAGGCATATATGTAAAAAAATGCCATCAAGAGATGTACATCTTCCCTTTAATTGACTATATGCTTGTGTCTTATTTCAAACATGCGTAATGGACGACGGTAATGACAGATTTTTTAGCAAGGATGTTTTAATGTATGCGTCTTTTAAGTTATGATTATTATAGGTTTTTAACATGTTCTAGCCAATTACCTACCTAAAAGTACGTCAGAAAGAAAATTTAAATTTATATTGAAAATGGATGATTGCGAACGATTAGTAAATGCATGCAAATTGTTTTATATTAAATATAAAAATGCACTTTTTTGTAATTACTCAAAACAATTATTTAACACTAGCTGACCCGATCCCGCTTCGCTGGAATTTCTCAAATCTCAATTATTAAATGTGAATAACAGTTTTTGTTACTCGTGAGAAATTCTTTCATTATTGATTTAATTTTTATTAATTTTTGTTATTTTTTTATTAATTTTTATTAATTTTTAATAATTAATTTTTATTAATTTTTATTAATTTAATTTTTATTAATTTTTATTAATTTTTATTAATTTTTATTAATTTTTATTAATTTTTATTAATTTTTATTAATTTTTATTAATTTTTATTAATTTTTATTAATTTTTATTAATTTTTATTAATTTTTATTAATTTTTATTAATTTTTATTAATTTTTATTAATTTTTATTAATTTTTATTAATTTTTATTAATTTTTATTAATTTTTATTAATTTTTATTAATTTTTATTAATTTTTATTAATTTTTATTAATTTTTATTAATTTTTATTAATTTTTATTAATTTTTATTAATTTTTATTAATTTTTATTAATTTTTATTAATTTTTATTAATTTTTATTAATTTTTATTAATTTTTATTAATTTTTATTAATTTTTATTAATTTTTATTAATTTTTATTAATTTTTATTAATTTTTATTAATTTTTATTAATTTTTATTAATTTTTATTAATTTTTATTAATTTTTATTAATTTTTATTAATTTTTATTAATTTTTATTAATTTTTATTAATTTTTATTAATTTTTATTAATTTTTATTAATTTTTATTAATTTTTATTAATTTTTATTAATTTTTATTAATTTTTATTAATTTTTATTAATTTTTATTAATTTTTATTAATTTTTATTAATTTTTATTAATTTTTATTAATTTTTATTAATTTTTATTAATTTTTATTAATTTTTATTAATTTTTATTAATTTTTATTAATTTTTATTAATTTTTATTAATTTTTATTAATTTTTATTAATTTTTATTAATTTTTATTAATTTTTATTAATTTTTATTAATTTTTATTAATTTTTATTAATTTTTATTAATTTTTATTAATTTTTATTAATTTTTATTAATTTTTATTAATTTTTATTAATTTTTATTAATTTTTATTAATTTTTATTAATTTTTATTAATTTTTATTAATTTTTATTAATTTTTATTAATTTTTATTAATTTTTATTAATTTTTATTAATTTTTATTAATTTTTATTAATTTTTATTAATTTTTATTAATTTTTATTAATTTTTATTAATTTTTATTAATTTTTATTAATTTTTATTAATTTTTATTAATTTTTATTAATTTTTATTAATTTTTATTAATTTTTATTAATTTTTATTAATTTTTATTAATTTTTATTAATTTTTATTAATTTTTATTAATTTTTATTAATTTTTATTAATTTTTATTAATTTTTATTAATTTTTATTAATTTTTATTAATTTTTATTAATTTTTATTAATTTTTATTAATTTTTATTAATTTTTATTGATTTTTATTATTTTTTATTAATTTTTCTTATTTTGTTTATTTTTATTTATTTATTCCTCCCCTCCTTAAAATGTGACAATCCAAAAACCTTTAAATACGTCATTATATGAGTAGCTACAATTCCAACTTTCATGTTCCCACCTTTAAAATCTCGATACTTTCATCCCTCTTCCCCCTTCTCTCTATTTTTTCACTTTCCCCCTTTCCCCCTTTCGCCCTTTCCCTATTTCCTCTATTTCCACCTTTCTCCAAACTTTCGCATTTATGAAGTTAGGGTTTTTATGATACTTCCCATGCCTCCCTCCTTTAAATGCGAAAATCCAAAAACTTTGAAATACGTCATTATTTACATTTATGAGTAGCTGAAATTCCAAGTTTCAAGTTTCTATATTTAAAAAGGCGAAAGTCTTCACCTTACACCGTCATCTATTAGGAATTCATAGAACTAACCAATAAATACACAATATTTAGGCATTCCTATATAGTCTTCATAGGCATTCCATACAAATGAAGGTTTGGTATGTTTAAAGGGTTGCGACATACGATGTAGTTTATCTGTATTATATGAAATCATAAATAATGTACGAAATTTAAATATTTTATGTTGAACACAATGAAAATATTATTTTTAAAAAAACCGCTTATACATTTTCTATAAATTGGCAGGCTCGGCGACTATTATTTCAAATAAAAATAGCGTCCAAGATGGAAGGCTATGTCGCAACCCCTTTAAATTTACTAACCCTTCCCGCTATCAGCTATTGTTTGACAGGTCGTTGGAATGCCTAATTGTCGTATAATAAACATTTAATTTGCAATTACAAATATTGAGGTCAATAATTGAGATATTTACAAAAATGTGTCATCAGGACTTCATTTTTAACACCCTGTATCTCGGAAACAAAACGTTTTCGGACCTATGTTTATATAAACTTTTACTCCTATTTTAGGATGTAGATTACGCTGTTAAAACATGACCGTCTAATTTCAGGACACCCTGTATACATATACATTGGAAGCACTTAAAAAGATCAACAATCATTTTGAAACATACAAATTAATGTTTTGTGTTAAGTTTATTTTCTCAATTAATTTTGGCCATCTTATTACGTATTGGAAAATATTAACGAAGCCACAACTGATATAATTTAAAAACAATACAAACAATAACACTGGCGACAGTGACAGAAAATATGCTTTACTGCTAAGTTGCCTGCGTGTAACTGTGTACTTTAGTGGCGCTTGGATTCTATGTAATGCAACAAAACACATAACACATAATGGACACGGGAAGATTGAAGTTTACCTGTCATGCACAGTGCATGACGTCACACGTCACGTATACCTCGGCATCGTATGCAAGTCGGTGAATCGTGATGTATTATTAGAAGTTTACCAAAAACAAAATAGCATACGTTTGTTAATTGTATAAAGTCATCAATTATTTTGAGACCTTTTTTGGCGAATTTAAATATTTTAAATATTTTCGAAATGTATGCATATTTACCCAATAATTTTCACATAGTCCAATTGCATATATTAATTAATTGTTCTGCGAAATTACAAAAATAGTGCATGTTTATAGTAGTTTGTGCAACAAAAGTGGATATGAACAATTCACTCGAGCTGTACAATATATTTTTTTACGACCCACCAACGAAAATCTACAAATTAAAAAAAATATTTTGGATTATTACGACAAAATAACTAATTTCAAAATAAACATAAAAAAACAAAAAAGATTTAGTTTAATTGGTCCTCAGCCCAGACTCAATCCCGGGCTTTTCGCGTGGAAGGCAGATACTCTGTCCTCGCCTCCACCGCCACTTTTAGGATTTTAGTTTTAATACTCGTAATTAAATTAGTTTCATAAGGTTTGATTAAAATTTAATTTTCCTACGACCACTTAGGAAAGTGACACATATCACACTATACAGGGTGTCCTTTAAAATGTGTCCCAAAATTCTCAGGCAGATTCCTTAACCAAAAAATGGAAAAAAAGTTCCTATAGACCTATGTCCTAAAGTGCCCCCTAAGCGAGCAACAGCCTCTCGAAATCATTTTTTTTATTTTGATTTTTTGAATTTTCTTAAAAATGGAAACAAATAAAAGAACCAAATTTTGGCTGTTAAATATGATCAATAATAGTGACCTTTTGACACCTTCAAAAAGAAATTATTTCGTCAGGGGTGTACTTGGGAATTTTTTGAAAATTTTGATTATTCATAACTTTTTTGTGTTTTTGGTAATGACTTATCCATATTTTTTTTTTACATTCTACATTGAAAACTACGTCAAAAAGGAATACTTGTTTGATCTCGATTGGAGCAGCCGTTTCCGATGTGACAGGGTGTTTCATAAGGCCGTGCCAAATCAAAGTTATGTTTTTTAAATGGAACACCCTGTATATTTTTATATTTTTAGAATCTGCTCGATAATCTGATTTCAATGATATATCACACTTGTTATCTAATATGAATAGTAAAGGATCTACAGCTACTCAAAAATCACATTTTTTCAAATTCAGGTGGCTGTTGTAGCAAACAGTTGGAAATCGAGGAAAACGGCTTACAGTCCCTATCCTAACTTTTTAAGGTCTATTCAGTGACATAAAATACATATTATTTGATACAGGGTGATCAAAAATCCAAAATCACATCCGATTTTTGATCACCCTGTATCAACTAATATTTTTTGCCACTGAATAGACCTTCAAAAGTGAGGATAGGGACATGTAAGCCGTGTTCCTCGATTTCCAACTTTTTGGCTACAACAGCCAAAATTGAAAATTAACCTAAACTGCACGAATATCTTTGGATGATGTTTTCTCGGAAACGGCTGCTCCAATCGAGATCAAACAAGTATTCCTTTTTGACGTAGTTTTCAATGTAGAATGTAAAAAAAAATATGGATAAGTCATTACCAAAAACACAAAAAAGTTATGAATAATCAAAATTTTCAAAAAATTCCCAAGTACACCCCTGACGAAATAATTTCTTTTTGAAGGT